CGTTTGTTGAGCCATTTTGCCCACAGATTGTAAGGTATAATCATGGTGAGCTGATTGCCAGAAGGCCAATGGATTTGGTCGAAGGTAGATGAGCAGCGATGGAACAGTGGCTCCCCATCGAAGGGTGGGGAGTGGATAGTTTGGCATCGCTCTCGGAGTCCGGGTGGAGCGGGAGATCATGGTTGTCAACGCAGAAACGGGGGCGGAGATGTCAATGCGCCACTCAAAGAGCATGCGTGCTGGCCCCACTTGCCGGCGGGGGGGGGGGGGGGGGGGACATTAATAAGGCAAATACTGCTTCCACTCCCCTACCAGTGACCGGCTCTCGCACGCAGCATCCGCGACAACACTGTAACAACTCAGGCCTTGTAATTCACCCAAGGAAGTTGCTCTGCCAGGACAGCATCGACAGACCGACACTCTCGTTTTCTAACTTTGGGGAGCGCTAACGGTCAAACATTATTTGATGTCGTTGTCACCCAATAGTAATGCCGAAATCCCTGCGCTGAAATCCTTCGCGCGCTCTCGCTCTCGCTCTCTCTCCTCCTGACTCTGTCTGTCTAGTTCTCTCTGTATCTGCCAGGGCTCTTCTAATCCGTCCCGGGTCCCTGGGTTCAGAGGGGGCATCATCCACATTCCATGCCACATTCCCGTGCAATACTCACTCACTCCCTCCCTCCCTCGGATGCGCCCGCACTTGCGATGCCAGTGGACTGATCGATCCCATTCCATCCCATCCCATCATTCGATCGATCGATCGAAAGCCTCGTCGTCGCCACCTCCGTTGTGATAACACAATTGGAACGGAACGGAATGGAATGCAGCTTCGAAGCCAAGTTCGTGTCGCGTGAATGGGTCATTTTCACGACGATGCTGCTGGATTGAGCTTCTTCGAGATATCTTTACTTTTTGTTCGTTTGTTTGTATTTACGTTTGTTTGTATACATGCACGTACGCACATATTTATGTGTCTGTACGTGTTTAGAGGGAAGCTTGTGAGATTCAATTTAAACAGTGCTTCCACGATGGTTTATCTGGGTGAGAGTGTTTTACTATTGTGTATATCATATGATTTTTTATTTTATTTTATTTTTTCAATAATTTTTTTATCAATATTAATATTATAATTATCATCATCATCATCAACTTAGTGTTATTATTTTAAGTTTTTTTAATGTTTTAGTTTGCTGCTCACTTACAATTATTCAAAGTTGTGGAGGACAGCTACTAGAGTTTAACTTATTACATGATTTATTATTTTTTATAAATAAATATGTATATTAATCAAGTATTAGAAATATAATTGGTTCAACAATATTTCATTTAGAAGGATGCATTAAAGATAAGAAACTGCTAATATCACCATATTTTTGCTATTGTATTTTATTACAATGAATATATATATATATATATATATATATATATATATACATACATATATGTATGTAATTCACATTTGTGTATTTTTTTAAAATTAAAAATGAAAGATGTGGCAAAAATGATGGTCTCAATACATAATCATGGACTATACTAGACAGTGTTATACTAGACAGTGTTATAATTGAATTCTTTAAAGTACTACAATAAAATAATAGGTGGAAATTATTTCAAGATGGTAAATTAAACTCTTATATCAAGCACATATCTAAAAACTAGTGTTTATTAAAATATACTTTTGTATATAAATATGGTAAAAAATTGGTCTTTATAATTTAGTTACCAATTATATTATTAGATTTCTCTTACAAGATTTATGTGAAGACAAAAAATCAATATTTATTACTCTTGCAACTAATTCTTATAGAAGTGGTTAATTTACACAATATTGATTTTTTCTTTTGAGGTATTTCTTTTGAGATTATTTATAAGACTAAATTCTCTTTACTAAAATAATTCTAAATTCAATATTTTTTATTAATATATATCTTATTTGTATAAGTTAAAAATATATGGTAATTAAATTTTAATACAAAAGTATTAATCCATAGATAGAATCAAGATTGCATCAAAACTTTGTTCTACTTCCAAATAGAAAAGAAAAATTAATACTCTTAGCTTAAAAGAAGTGATGATGTCTTTGTAATTAAATAAATAATTTTAGTGCTTTAATATAAAGATCCAAAAATACAAGTATTTTTTTTAGATATAGGTTAATATAAATGAGATCATACAAAGATGGTATATGGTGGCTTAATTTTAATTTGGTCTTTTTTGTCATACCAAAAAACAAAAGATTAGACTAAAATTGGATCTTTACAAGACATAGTTGAACGTATATATCTTTTGAGATCTTATTCTTGTTGTTTAAAAAAGATCTTTGTAGTAATAATAATAATAAAAAATTCCTTGATTAGAAAACATCTAAAGTGATGATTCTTTACCATATGGATTATTTAAAATAGGACTATGATCTATTTTTTGATAAAGCTTAGCACAAGTTTAGATTAGAGAAAATCAATTAGGATTTTTAGACAAAACTTTCGAATTCTTTACAATAGTGGTATACAATTATAAAATCAAAATCTTAATCTTTGATATAGATAATTGTATTTTAGAATTTTCATATAGATAATTGTATACCACTATTGTATTATCAAATTAATGATAAAGAAGTATGATTTTTGACTTCTATAACTTATATAATTATAACATTTGTATTTTAGAATTGTGATAGATTATTTATATAAGAGATAAAATTTTAAATAATTCTTTGATAAACTATTAATTTAAATCTCTATTAAATTGGCTATTAATTTATAACTTTAAATTAGAATAATTTTTTTTTATTAAGGTAGAAAACATAACATTCACGTCCAAAAGGTTAGCACATATTCTCAATGAAACAACTTGCTCTCATATTGCATGTAATGTCTATAACAAAAATTAAAGAAAATAAAATCAAGGCCTTAAAAATATTATATAGTTTGCTAGATGATATAGAATTAAATTATCTAAATTATTATTCATAAATATAAGAAAATATTTTTTATAATAGAAAAATTACAAAAGAAATAAAAAAGAAAAAGAAAAAGAAAAAGAACAACTATGAGAGGTCAATTTTTTTGAGAGTCAAGTTTTTATTTATATTTATATTTTAAATTAGAATTTTGATTAATCAAATGTATCATTTGTAATTCAAATAAAGTTGAATTATTTATTAAAATTATACTATTATGATTTTTTTAACTCTCAAGAATTCTAAATTATATTTTGAAGTAATGAATACAACTTGTTTTCTAAATATTTTTTCAATTATATCACCCTTTGACATTAAAAAAAAAATTAAATTAAATTAAATTAAATTTTGGTTTTGTATTTATTTTGGAAAAAGTAGAAATTGGATTATATCATTTTTTTAATATATTAGTCATTATGATTAGAAGTTAGAGATTATATAAAACTATTCTTTGGAGATGATAAAATCTTGTTAATTTTTTTTCTTGGTTAAAAGTGATTTAATATAATCTGGTCCTGCTTAGAGGCATTTTTATTGTAGAATATTTAGATTCAATTTGGTGCAAAAGAATTTTTATAAAAATGGTAAAATTAAAATTCTAAGCAATGTTTTTGGTTGAGAATCTTTGACAATGGAAGGATAACATTGAGCTATAACTAAGGATTACTTTAAAATTAAAAATAAAATCTAAAGATTTATTTACTGAGACGTTGGATTTAATTCAGGATGCCTATGTTATTAAAAAAATTAACGTGATAACAATTTATAAACATTGTGAACTATAAAGGATTAATTGGTTAGTGCAAAAATTATATTTTAACACTTCTTATTTGCCATGTTTGGGGAAGGGGAGAGAGAGAATTGCTAAGACATATAACATTTTATCTCTCTTCCTTTGTAAAATTATTTGTCATTTGTATCAAGATAAATAATTAAATCCAGTTTCTTCTTCACATATATATATATATATATATATACATATATTTGAAAATAATGTTAAGACCACATCACAACAAAGTCACTTCTTAAAACCATTCTTCAAGTTATCCATATCTTAGAATAATCTTGTTGTGTTGTAGTCTGTTTCTTAAACACAAACGCTATTTGTTTCATGTCTGCACTACCTCATTCATTACATTAAGAAACAAACATAGCACCTCAGCTCCTCCACAAGGTTCTCACACAGCCACGGTAACCACAGTTGCAAGAACACCAAAACGCGGCAGAGATTTTGAGGCCTACAATCCAGAAAAAATGATATTTGCTGCAGCTTGAGCAAGTTGCGAACTTCGAGTTACAAAACTTAATGAAATCAACAACAAAGACGAAGAAGAAGAAGGTGTTTCGACGTATCCCGGCGGAGGCTAAATCACGTGAGCAGAGGCGTGCGTGCGCAAGGAGGTTGGATGCATCACGAGAATTGGGCATTCGCAGTGTTGCATGAGCTTCGTATTTGCTATAAGACGCAGATAACCAACACAAAAAACAAAAAAACAAAAAACAGAAACAGACAACAACATCAACATCAACAACCACGCTGTTGAATTGCGAGCAGAAACTGGGGATTTGGCTACCGTCGCCGGCACCCACGGGTGCTTGGGAGTCCTGCCGACTTCGCCAACGGGGCACGAGGGCAGCGGTCAAAGGTGGGTAGTCAGCATCTGACAGGTGTGCAGAATCCCGAATCCAGAGAATCTGAAAAAAGGAAAGACAACAGAAAGAGCGGAGGAAATACAGAAAGATGGATGGTGTTTGCACTGTTGTTCGAGTTGAGGCAGCGCACGTTCCCAAAGAAAGCAGCTCGAAAACGGCAGAGTTGCTTGGCCTGCTCCAGATCCGCCCTCAACCAGATTAACTCTCGACCCCTGGAAAGATATACCTGATGGGTAGATCCATCGATCGGTCATATATCCAACTCGATGCTCTCCGTCGCCTTCGTCTTCGCGTCGTCTCCGTTTTCAGTCACCCTCATGGAGAGCTCTTCACTGTCTCCGTCCACTCTCGCACTGACTGGCTGCTCATCCGTAGCGAGGTTGTAGTGAGGGGTTAGCGGTCAACCGCGACACTCACTAGTGTGCCTTATCCTCTAGAACTCCGAGTTTAGTTTTCTTTCCCTAGAGATTTTGACGTCGACTTCAGTCCGTGAGAGTTTAATGGTCTGGGTTGCATTTCGATCTGTCCAATTTCGGTTTCTTGACATCAATTTCAATGATGTGTTGGGGTATCAGAGAGCACCATTTTTGGGACGAGGTCTAAGGAATGCTTTACCTCCTGCGTCTCATGCACTGACGAATGTTAACACTTTCGTGAGTTTTTTGAGACGGCTGAGCGTGGTTCGATTGTCTTGAGAGCCGATGTTTTGAGTCCTCTTTTGTGAAGTGTTTGCCTTTCTCGCAGAGTTTCTAACTATTTGTCGTCGTTCAAGGTCTTCTTTTCCTCTTGTAAGGAACTGGTGCCGTTTTGCCTCTTCACAGTGATATGTTCTCCGGGTGCGGTCTGCGAGATATTTGGGATGGAAGCATGAGCGAGTTCCATTCGTGACCAGTGCTGTATCAAGAAGGCGGTGCGATCGACCTTGGAGCACGTCATTGCCCGCGTAGTCTTCTACAGGGTTTCAATTCAATGACAAACTGTTGCTGTGCCGTGTCTCTCCTGACTTTGTCAATTCTTCTCTGCATCGTGCTGCGAGGGGTTCAATCCTCGAGCGTTTTGCGAGCCACAGTGGAGAACGCTGCGGATAATGCACGCTATGGAGGAGAATCCTCGCGATCCGGAGGGCTATACTTCAGTCTGAAGCGCCGCGATTCCCCCGACTCCCCGTTTCGGCAGCGTCACAGAAGCAGAATGGACCAGTTGCAGGTGGTTCTGCATCGAGATAATGCGCGAGCCAAATCCTTTCAGGAACATATCATAACGCGACAGCCGAGGCGTGCCACTGGGATGTCAACCGAAAAGGATTCGTCGGACGCTGCGCCCTGTCATCGATCGGATTCCCCTGCTGATCCTACAGTGCCTGAAAACCTGGAGCAGGGAAGTCTGCTGGCTCCGGAAAATGCAGGGGAGTATTACACGGAGCTCTACGCCGGGACGCCGCGGCAGCTAATCGTGGCTATGGTAGATTTAGGGAGTGACGTCTTCTGGATGGGGAAGCCATTGAGCAGGTTACGAAACCGCAAATACACAGATCCCGTGAAATCGTTCTTCTATCCCTCTTCCTCCGTCTCGTTCACTCTAATTCCTTCGGGATCCGAAAATTGCCTTGCACTGAAGGGTATTCATGTGTCTGGTCAGAGAGAAGATTGCCGTCTCTTGGTGGGCACAAAGGAGCAGTACTACGGAGCGCTGGAATTTGCCTACGAAGACATTCGGCTGAACAAAACCGCGGAGTACAAATCTGGCGTGATTAAGCAGCTGCTGATTAGTGTGAGCCAGGTGCCACGGTCGACAGCAGGAGTACTAGGCCTCGGTAGGGGGGACTCCTCGTTCGCAACCCAGGTAGTAAAGCGGCACACTCATTTCTTCAACAGAATTTCCTATTGCCTGGCCGACACAGATGAACCCGCAGGAAGCTCCTTGGTGTTTAGCTCTGGCGAAGGAGGCCCACATCTCGAGTTCACGCCGCTGTTGAAGCACCCTCTTGTGGAGACTTTTTACTTCGTAAATTTGGTTGCGGTGGCTGTGAACGGCGCCAAATTGCCAATTTCTAGTAAAGTGCTCAAGATGAATAGCGAGGGGAATGGAGGGGCCATCCTTGACATGAGCACTCGGTTCACGAGATTCCCGAATAGCGCATTCGATCACTTGGTCAAAGCTCTTAAGGCGCTCATCCGGTTACCGACGATGGTGGTGCCCAGGTTCCAACTGTGCTACAGCACCGTGAACACTGGCACCCTCATAATTCCAACCGTGACCCTAATTTTTGAGAATGGTGTGAGAATGAGATTGCCAATGGAGAACACTTTCGTCTCTGTGACAGAGCAGGGGGACGTGATGTGCTTGGCTATGGTGCCGGGAAATCCTGGAACTGCGACCGTCATTGGCAGCGCCCAGCAGCAGAACTTCCTCATAGTCATCGATAGGGAGGCGTCACGGTTAGGCTTTGCACCCCTGCAGTGTGCATCTTCGCCCAACTTGTGATTGACGAACCAAAACCATGATTAAAGCTGGTCGGTTAGTCAAATAACTGTACATAGTTAGAACACTCGAACGACACAGATAAACGATCACAACACTTGGAATCAGCTTCTATCCACGTCGTGCTTTTAGACGTGGACTTGACAGCCTACACATCTTTCTGATCCCCCATTGTCGAAGCCTCCTATTCTTGAAACTCTAGAGGATCCGCCGTTCGACTCCTTCTTTACAAAGCAAAGCATAGAAAATCCAGCATACCAAATGCCATCAAATTAATGTGGCATTCACGCACACGTTTTCGCCTCTGACTCCTCCACACGATCTCGAACACGCAATCCCCACATGAGATCACGCTCTCAGAACCGTCACCAAACCCACCCACACATTTCCCCAGACAAAGTTCACCGGGTAGCTCTGACAATCCCTCGCACTCTCCATCATCCGACAATGGGCGTCAGTGTCACGGCGACAGCAATTGTGTTACGACCCGTTGCGTAACATGGAACCGGATTAGCTGACAGAGCTTACTGCACGTCTGCAACATCAATCTTCCGCAGCTTCGGGTGCACATGCTCCGACGCAGACTCGGTTATGTGATGTTCTTGTGAGCAACCCACTTTCCCTCTCCGGGTGTTTCCATATGATTCCTCCAAGCAAACACTACCGAAGGAATGTGAGTTTCATATCCTTGAAGAATAGTTATACCAGCATCGACGATCGAGGCTGAGAAGATTCAGACGAAACGTTAGATTGAAGCAATCAGGTGGGTGCTACCTCGCCGGCTGCAGGATCAGGTCGCTTGCTTCTTGTTGCTGCGACACTGGGGCTCATTTGTCGTGCTTTGACGATAGATGCCGAAGCATCGGCGCTTGTGATGGTGTACAGTTCAGTCTTTGGAGACTTTGCCTATTTGCTGTTTGGTTTTTCTGCAATGGATATTGGGAGTATTATACAATATAATACACTAGTATTATAGTATAGTATATAATCTAATAATTGTGACTCTATATCAAGAGTTGTGACTCTTGGTGAGACTCTTGTACACACATTATAATGTGTAATGTTTGACTACATATAATATAATTTAAGATGTTTCCAACATGGTATCAGAGATATAAACATATTTGATCCTTAAAAAAAATGTGTAGGTGAATGCTTTATCTAGAAAAGAATTGATAAAATTACAAACTAAATTGTAATAATAGTAATAAAATAATCTATTGTAATAAGAAAGGTTGAACAACTTGAAGTTCATCAAACCATGACAAGCAGTTCTAAATGTGAAAATTACAATATACAAATCACAAGCTAAGGTAAAACTGAATTGTTTTCAAGAATAAATTAATAAATAATTTCAAATCAACTTCAAATTAAGACTATTAAAGATGACACAAAAAGTAGACATCAATCATATTCCTAAATTTGATGGTTCTTATTTGAAAGTATGGAAACATAAACTAACATTAGTTTTTAAGGCTGAAAAGTTTTGGCCTGTAGTAAGTGGTGAAGAACTCTTATCAATGGCACCAACAATAGTTAATATTGCTATTAAAACTCTAGCTTTACTTGCCACATAAGTAAGAATTATAAATACATGGATACATAAGGATACCTTGTCTTAAACAATAATTAATATTTATCTAGAAAACAATATTGTTTCATATATACAAACTTGCATATTAGCACATATAGCATGGCAAGAATTAGTATGAATATTTGAATCACAAGATGTTGTAACAAAAATGTATTTAAAAGACAAGTTATATATCTTAAAGATAAGAAAAGGTGATAATGTTATTAAATGCATACATATATTTAAGGCGCATTTGGAATAATTGATGGCAATAGGATTAATAGTTCCAAATGATGAGGCAATTCTTATTTTAATGAAAAGTTTAGATCTAACCTATTGATCCTTCATTAACTCTTTAAGAAGGCAACATGAAATCACATTACAATCTTTATTAACAAATTTGTTCTAGGTAAAAACTTTCATACAAAATATGAATTTAACATGTAATAATACATAAACCTTATAAGTAGGCAAGAAATTTCTAAATCACAATAAGAAATATTATTTTAATAAGAATTTTAAAAAAAAATTATAAAAAGAAAGTACTATCTCTAAACCACATACAAAGAAAAATCTTACTATTGATAAGAAATTTGTATATATATTTTTTGTTTGAAACCATGTTAATTAATTAAAGATTTTCAAACAAGAATAGCAATTAAAAGCCATAATAAAAAAAAGAAACAAATTTTGTTACAAAATCAAAAAAACTATATGTGGCAATATTTATAATAAAAAATAAATCAGATTCTATGTGGAATGTAGACTTAGGAGTAACTCAATACATGTGACATGAGTTAAAAGGATTTGTAAAATATGTTAAAAGCAAAGAAAAGCAAGTTGTCTACTTAGGAGATAATTCTACATCATTTATAATAAAAAGATATAGTAATGTAAATGTAAAACTTATAAATGGAGATGAGAAGATCATACTAAATATTTTATATGTATCAAGACTTACAAAGAATTTTTTCTCTATTAAACAATTAGATAAGATAAAAAGACAAATTTGCATTAAAGCTTAGACATCTATATTTATAAATAGATTTGGTCAAACATTTATAAGATACAAATTGAACCTTGATCTATATCAATTAGATACAACAATTATATCAAATAAGTACTAAATTGCTATTTCAATTATAACATATTTAAACAAAGTTGATTTGAAGCACTTAAGACTAAAACACATAAATCAATAAAATTTAAAAAGAATACAAACAATAGCAAAGGAAATGGATTTCTTTGACAAAAAGAAAATAACTTTATGTCAACTTTGCATAAAAGATAAGCAACATAAAAAACAAAAAGAATCTACGGAAGATCTAAAAAGAGCTATAAAAAGCTATACAATTGTTAGGACTTATATATTCTGACATTTGTGGTCCTATTGTCAAGGACAAAGACTCGATGAGGGAAAATATACACAAAAAGGCTATCTCGATATAATAAGTCAAAATATAAACAAGTATGTATATTAAAAAGAAACTGGAATGGCTATTGCCACAAGACAAGAAACTAAAGACTCTTGAACCTGGACTAGGAGCAAGAAAGGAGTTGACAAGAGTGAAGAAGCCTTCACTCTTGTCTCTATATATACTATCTAGCTAGGAGCTACGTGGCGACGTTCTATAGGACCTCCAATATGTGTTGACTTTGTAGGACACATGCCTTGACTTACAAGGCAAGTTTTTTCTACATGTGGGCCACATAGTTAGCTTGATCTTCAAGCTAACAACATGTGTGGCACATGGCCAACTTGTTGACCACGTTTCTAATCCAAAAAGTCAATTAAAGACACCTATGAAGTCAAAGCAGTGTCAAGGAAGTTTCTAGGAAGCTTCCATATTAAATATTATAGAATTAACTTACTTTTATCTACTTTTATATGTAATTATTAGCTTACATGATTATGGCCGTGACATTACCCCCCCTTCTAGAGACGAGTTCCACGAGGAGCGGTCATCATATGTTGAGAAAATCTATGATGCATATGTATTTAATAAAACACAAATCTGAAGCATTTAAAAAATTCAATATATACAAATAGTTTGTAGAAAAATAAATATATTTTAAAATTAAAATATTATGGTCTGATTATAGAGATAAATATAAAATAGATGAATTTAAAGATTAGTATAAGAAGCAAATAATAAAATATAAAAATATAAAAATAATCAAATAAGAATATACTATAACTTATATGCGACAAAAAAATGGTGTTTTGGAAAGAAAGAATAAGTTATTAGTAGGAACCATTCTTGCAATGCTATTCTATTGAAAGATATCAACAATTTTTTTGGAGTGAAGTACTTCAAAAGACAAATTATCTTCAAAATATGATTTCTACAAAGTTTGTATAAGGCAAAAAAATCTCATTTGAATTATGGTAAAAAAAACAACCAAACATATTCTACCTTAAAAACTTTGGATGCAAAACCTATATTTTTATTCCTTAAGAAACTAAAAAGTAATTAGATTCTCATTCTCAAGAAGTTATTTTCTTAGGTTATAATAAAGAATCTAAAGTCTATTAGCACATAAATATTCAAAATCAATAAATCACTACTTTAAGAGATGTTATCTTCAATGTAGTTTGACATGATGAAAAAATAACATCATGCTTGCAAAAACACAATAACGAGGTTTTAATTGATTTGGAATTATTTAAGCTTCTTTCAACAACTATAAGGTCCAATGAAAAAAATATATTTTATTTTCAAGGAATGACTCCAATTTGGTCTATATAAACGACCAGATTTTAGTATTCTATAGTCTATACAACTCTTCCTCTTCCAATAATATATTTGGATCATTGACTTGGGTACTATCTATGTGTAACTAAAAAATATCTTCATATCAGATGCCATCTATTTATGTGGCTAAATCTAAGTTCACTTCTTCTTTTTGATAGATTGTAAACTCTTCTAAAAAGTTTACCAAATATTCTTTGATAGAGTGAAGGTGGTTTATTAACCATTGGAAAAATTCTCAATTGTCTTTCCAATCATACATCCTTGGGCCTAAATAATCTATGGTGGTCAAGTTTAAATTAATTGCTTGAGTTTTTGAATTGAACTCTAGAAGAATAAATCTAACTTGTTTCTTTGATCTTTCCAATATAGGTCATTTATGCACATCTTCCTTTGAGAAATCACTATATTATTTTTTATGATACATTTGATTAGATTAAAATAAAATATTAATATAGTTATCAAGGGATCCATATATAATCAGAGATTTAACATCCTTCCATTCTACAATTGTGTTGGCTGCATTCAATCATAGAAGACATAAAAGGAGAGGAAATACATTCTTATTTGAATGCATTCGAATTATATAGAAGATAAGAGACTATTTTTTGCTCCTTATAACTATTTTTTAGTCTTGAATCAAGCCAATTGATTCTTTTATACTTTGATTTGCTATATTAATAAAAAATGGAGATGATTTAGTAATATTCAAGCCTAATTTTTTCATAGTTTGTAATAACATGATATTTAAGCCACTACCTCTATCTACCAAGACTTTGGATAGAATCTTCTCTATCAACAAGACCTCTATTTTCACTACTTTCACATCATATGAAATAATGAATATGTGAATATT